GGGGGGGAGAGACGAGACCGCCGGGATTGGCTGAAAGATAGGGTGACAATGCCCCCTCTACATTCTTGATACAGGGTAAACCATCCGCGCACGTTCGATTCAGTTGGGCTGATAAGAGGGGCGGGGGATGGGGGGAGAGGGGGAAGAATAAATGGGAGGCGAGCTGCCCTAACTTATTTGTCTGCTGGCCACTATTGACCGGTTATCGATATTGTACCACTCGCACATTATATTCCCCACTACAATCACCGACTCTTTAGTTAAATTCAAAGGGTGGATAGGGGACGGAGGGCGTGGGGGGGGGGGGCTTTTGCTCACTTAATTAATCGATGCAAATGAATTATACATGTGGCGGTAATGAGGTGCGCTGCATTTTCAATTATTTGGGAACAAAATAAAAACAAAATGGCGGGGTTTAGATTTTTTTCTGCTCCGGGGGAAATTAGAGGGACATCGATTGTGCCGGTGGTTAATGGGAGAATGGAGTTATCGTGTTTTTGGGATTCATGTCAATGAGGGGAGAGGGGTGATGCAGGGGCGGATAAATATTTGAATGGACGGTGGACGAGTGAACGTGGAACAAAAGTGGATTTACATTTGGAGTTTTTTTGGGAAATGAAATTGGTAAAGAAGCGGTACAACGATTTCAGTCGATTTGACTGTTGGTGAGTTTTCGAGACATTTCTCGGAATCTAAGGTAGATAGAAACATTTTTGTTATGAGCTTTTTCGTAGCGCGCATTGAGAGCTACGAAAAAGTTATTATAAGTTTTTCGCTATCTTCCTTTGATTCCGAGATATTTATTGAAAACTGGCTAATAGTAAAAACCGAATTAAACCGTTAAACCACTTCGCTACTGAGTTAATTCTGTTCATTACTATTATTGAGAAATGAATGCATTTTTTACAGAAAAAAACTGTAAGGCCTAATGGGTATACTTATATCGCGCGAACGCGCAAGATACTCTAGTAAAACAAGTGGGAAATTACTCTTGTATTGCATATTGTCTCATTATTTTTGCTAGTAAATTAGCAATATGCTTCCCAATTGTTACTCTGCACATCATTTCCTTCTATCATGTATAATTTATTGTTTATTTCATTTTATTGAATTGAATAAGATTTCTTTTTAACTAATTTTGTCAGAATGTCAACTTAGCTGAATGCTTTCATCATCATTATTATTATTATCCCTTTCTTCTATACAACCAATTGCCTTTTTTACAGTTCTATCTCTCCTCTCAGCCCTTCGATAAAAGGTTAATAGAAAAATTTTATTTACACATACTTGAATGAATTTGAAACATCACATTTGTGGAAACCATCAGAAAGCTCACTTTCAGGAAAATTCATGAAAAATTCGAAATTTTCAACTATATCATCATAAAAATCAAATCAACCAACGCAGCTATCGTAATCATCTTTTACCTTCGACTTAATGGCATTAAAACAAACATTTTAAGTGATGATTGAATTCATTTGAAGCATGATACTCAAAGATATCCCCGGAATTCTGATTTTCAAAAAATAGAAAATTGTTGCAAATTTTCAAATCAATCGAAATAGCTGAGTTGGGAGAGTACCCGATGCATAATCGGAAGGTCCCGGGTTCAATTACCGGTATGGACTATCCATTTTTTCAAGTAAAAATTTTCTGGGTATTCATATTGAGAATAATACCAGTTCTCCTGCTACCGCATCCAAATCGCTATATAAATTCCTTTCTTTAATGTGATTATTGCTATCGCAATAGGGTGCATCTGAAATAGGGTTTTTTTTTCTAGAAATGATTTTCCCTATCCCGAATGTCCTCTTCACCCGCAACCTTTAATTTGTTACCCCCTCTCATAATCACCATGTAAAATATATGTTAAAGCCCCTGGGCTGTCGTTATACTTCATAAAGTCCTGTATATAAAAACTGTAAACATTTGTTATTGTTTGTAAATATTCGTATTTATGTTAATAAACATTATTTGACTTGACTTGAATTGCTATCGCCTTCATCTTCGAAGTCGATCAAAAGAACATCCAAACAAATTTTTTGAGTCATCATTCAATCAATTCACAGCATTTTTTTTTAGTTATCGTGGAACCACCGATTTTCGAAAAAATTCGAAAATAAAAAACTAATCGATGAATTAAATTTCAATCAATGGCGATCGATAGGGCTCAACAACACCTACATTTGAAGAAACGATTCAATTCCATCCACTCATCAGCGAACAATTGAAGAAAAACTTCGTTACATCGTTACTTCGTTACTTCGGCATACATATGCACACACGTACGGACGAGGTCTAAAATTGCATTTGCGGAGTTTTTGGATCATACTGAGTCGATATAGGGTGAACAGGCCAATTGCTGGACGGTTAAGAGAAATTCGAGTTTCGTGGTAGGATTTAAAATAAAAAATCACCTAAATGGGGATATAATGGCTTCCACACCTCCAAGAATGTTGTGATTAGCGGAAAAAAATTCTTCAAAGTTAAAATGACAAAACAAAGAATAATTAAATTAAGAAATAGTTGGTTTCGGCCATATTTTTTCTATTTATTAAACGTCGATCTATAGAAAAAATAATTGATCACATGATCATACACGAGTAATATTATTGAAAGGTAAAATCATCAGCCGAATATTCATTTGATTATTTATGGAATATTCAATGCAAGTTGAAATCGTCCACAAACTAACCCCCGTCCAGAAATTGACCTGTTTCCCCTACCCCAAAAACTCCAAAACTTAAATTTGAACGATTACAAAGCTTCCATTCGGAAGCAAAGAAAGATTCACCCCTCAATCCTCTAGTATTCCATTCACTCAATAATCCGCCACCCCGTGCTAAATATCACAAAGACCATCGAAATTCCCCGCGTCTCCGTGTAATTAATAATGCATAATTCTCCATCCTCGTGTAATAATACTCATTAACATCCTCTAATTTTCATGATGCAGCATTAATAATTTTCCACTGAAATGATCATTCAAATATTTATCATATAACAATTGTCGAGTGCAGCTGATGGCATAATGCGACGAATGCTTATTGAAGAAGTTAGTAGATCTAATAATAGAGTCTGTAGCGCCTAACCCCTGCTGCATTCGTCAATACCCTATTTAAAGACATCTCGACCCTTATGAATACTGCATACCACCATAACCACTTTGTATGTCTAGGCTTTACAGTGGTCAATTGGCCTGGGAATATCAAATAATTAATCCAATAAAAAAATATATGTTGTAATGATATTTTCCCAGAAACCGCTACAACTGATGCCTCTGTATAATTATATTCCACTGAATCGCTAAACGCATCTGCATATGTACCGTTTATTACTGTTGTTATAATTACCCAGGAGTAGTAATCAACAGTCATTACATATATCAGGAAATTATTATGCTCCTACACTCTCTCCCATTGTGCCGTGGAAAAGTAAAATAACCTCGAAAAAAAAAAAAAAA